CCAGCCCCCCTCCTGCTACTCTCTCTCGTGTTCCATCCTCATCCCTCCCACATTGCCCCTTCCTTCCATCCGTCCTCTCTCTTCCCCTGTCTTAGGGGCTACACAAAATACACGCTTCAGGTAAGAAATATATACACACCCAAGGGGGTACGATCGAAGAAGAAGAGTGCAGGTATCCAGGGTTGGTGGAACACATGCAGATTGACACGCACGCGTACAAGCATGAGCAGTATTGCAAGGTTTGTTGTTATGGCTGTTGCTGTTGGTGTTGATGTGTGTGTGTGTGTGTTATGTGTTGCTTTGTTGTTCTCTCACCTGCACAGATGTATGCATACATCTGAACGTTTCTGTGTACGTACCTACCTACCTACCTACCTACCTACCTACATACATACATACATACATACATACGTACGTACGTACGTACGTACGTACGTACATCCATCCATCCATCCATACATACATACATACATACATACATACATGCATATATACATACATAAACACACATGCATACATACATACACACAAACATACACATATAGATGTGTATATATACGTGTACGTACTCATGTGTAGTTAGATATACGTGTATCTATATAGTATGGTTCTCTCTGTCTGTATCTCTCTCTCTCTCGCGTCTTCTCTGTCTTGCTTGCGGGCTCATCCTCTTCCTCCTCCCTTCCGCGCCGCTCCTCGTCCAGCGTGCCATCTACCCTTCTTCTGCGTGCTCTCCACCCGCACCCCCCTTCGCACGGGCACGGGCGCGCGGCACAAGGCAGACGACGAGGGCGGGCAAGAAACGCGAGAGCATCCGCCTGCCCTTGGGAGGCGACCGCTGGGAGGCTTCGTCGGGAGGACTGGGGGGAATTGGGCCCTCTTGGGGGGCTGCTACGCGGGATTCGGCCGCGGATCCATGCGGGAGGAAGCCGGATTGAGCCGGATTTCGGACCAGGGCACCAGCAGATCTTGACCCCCCAGGAGTTGCATCCCAACTGCCCTTGCCCAGGCCAGGCGAGGCAGGGCCAGCGGCGACAACCCCCTGCGTTCCGCGAAGAGCGCTGGAGCGCGCACTTGCGCCAGCTACAAGGAACCACCGCCCTGGGTCCCTGGGACCTATTGTCCCGGGACAGTGCGCGCCCAGGTCAGTCGGGCTTTGCAATATCCTGCAACCCCCTCTGCAGGATCCTGCGCGCTAGCCCTGGGCAGTGCGGCCCTGGCCCTGCAGGTTCCTGGACAATTCGGCCCTCTGGCTGACCCCTCTCGAGGTTCCCGACTGGTAGTGGCACGATTCGCGCACACGCCCTCTGGAAAAGCGAATGGCCCCGAGATTGCCCAAAATGGCCTCCAAGATAGCTCAAGATAGCCGCACATGCTTCAATATAGAAACATACATACCTCCAAGAGGCTTCAAGGCGCCCCCAAGGCAATTAGAGGTGCTCTCGGAGCCTCAAGAGGACCCGAATCTGGTTCAAGAAAACCCCAACATGGCCCCAAGAGGCCCCAGAATGACACCCAAGAGAACCACAAGAGCGCCCAAGGGCGCCCTTGGAGGGCCCCAAGAGGCGATTTCTTAGCCTTCCATGGGTGGCCGAGGCAACCAGCTTTCGCTCTTTTCGAACCATGGCCCCCAAAATCGCCCCATGAGGGCCTCAAGACCCCCCCCAAAGAGTCCGAAGAGGCCCCCAGGATGGCTCCAACTGGGCCAAAAAAACTGCCACAATGGCTTGAAGACGACTCCAAGAGGCTTGCAGAAGGCTCGCGCAGCGAAAACCGAAAACTCTGCGAAGGCTTGACGGGCCTGCTCAGGTTGTCCCGAGGCCTCGGTTTGACGGTTTGCACAACTCGTTGCCCCACTGCATGCTGCCACACTTCCCTGATCAAGGGAATTTGCCTGGGCACCGTTGCTGGATAGGTTGGTGGGGATATTTTTTGGAACGCGGGCGCGCGAAACGAGTCGAACGCCGGGCATGCAGGTGCAGGCTGTGCCACCGGCAAAAAAAACAAAGATGCGAGCGAGGAATGGTGGGGATGCTTCTTTGATCGCGACCGCATCGAAAAAGGTCGGGCGTCGTCCAGGAGCGTAGCACACGGGCAACGCCTAAATTCGCGCACAAAGAAAAGGAGGAAAAGCTGGTGGGAATCCTTTTTTCCGTCGCAGCCGCGAGCGAAAGCGCACGCAGCGTCAGAGGTCAACCCGGTCTACGGGCGAAGCCTAATTGCCCAGCGGACGCTCGCGGCTGCCGAGGCTGCCGCCGAAAAAAGCTGTGGGGCGCCGGGGGCTGCAGGCAGACTGGCTGGTGGGGATTTTTTCGTCGCGGCCGCAGGCGAAGGCGCCAGCAGCGAAAGCCGAGTTGGCTCGGGCTACGAGCAAACTGGTTGCCGGCGCGCGCGCCGAACTAGGCAAGACCTACCGCCGGGGAAAGCAGCAGCGCCGGGGTCGAACTGCACCGAGGGTGGGGCTTGCCAGCTGCAGATGCTTCCAGAATGGGTTGGTGGGGATATTTTTTAAAGTCGCAGCCGCAGGCGAGAGCGCAAACGGCGAGTCGTAAGTCCGGGGCACGGGCCTACTAATTAAACAGGAGCAAGCTAGAGCGGCGTAGCCTAAACAACTAGCTGCCTAAGCGTCGCCTCAGGTAGGCTGCAAGCTGCACTGAGTGTGGATGCCAGGGCCAAGGGCAGAAAGCGTCCACACAACGTCCATGCAAGCAAATGTTACTGTGGGGATACGCGAACCGTCAAGAATCCCCAGACAGCGCAGGCGCAAATCGTGACGGTACCGGCCCCTTTCCGCCACCGCGTTAGCGCAAGGGGATCGGAACAAAAAAACACGCGCCTGTTGGGCGTATTTTTTAGTTCGCGGCCATAACGGGCGTTTTAGGGGGGGGACGGGAGGGGGCAGAACGTAGCGCCCCCCCAAAAACTGAGGTGCCAGAAGCACTGCGGCAGTGCCAGGGACGCACCGAGGGGGGAAGCGTCACGTTTTAAGGGGGGGGGAAGGGAGGGGGTGTAGGGGGCATACCGCGCGGTGGCCCAAAGAGTTAACAAAAACACTTTCGTTGGTCTTGAGGAGTGGAGTCTCGGGCGGGAGCCCAGGCGAGAGTCCTCCCAGATGGGGCCCGAGACGGAGGGGCCAGAGGATTGCGCCGCACCGCCGGTGCTTCTGTGACGGCGGGGCGGAGACATTCTGGCCCCGCATCGCGCCGCGTCGCTTCGTCGCTGCGTCGCCGACGCGGCGCGAGGTGGAAGGCGCGATCATGCGACGCCCCACCTGTCAAGCAAACACTAACGTGGACTGCGGATCCGTGGATTTGGCGAGCGGGTGCGAGATCCACGGATCGGGGGGACACAGCCCCGAAACAACGTGAAGCTGATGCCGCCTGCTTGGCGACAGCGCGTGCCAGTCTTGCACAACGCCCTGATCCATGTTTACGCTTCCTCGAATCTCTGGTGACAACTCATGGGAGCCTCCCGTGCCATCTTGCTGCCGGCTCTTGCGAAACGACGCTGGCCGACGCTCAATCGACGCTGATCGACGCTAAGTCGACGCCAAATCGGCGCTGTCTCATCGACTGCAGACGCTAATCGACGCTAATCGGCGCTAAAGTTAAGAGAGTACACCAGGCTCCCATTATTGTTGATGATGCCACGACAGTGTTCAACATGTCGGACAAACGCTCTCAAAATGTGTTTTACATGTTTCAAACATGGTTAACGCATGATTTAGACATCTGGGAACTATTTGGCAACATGCTTCCTCTCGGCTGATCGTCCTCCACAACATGATTGGCCACCGAACGACTCCATTTCGGCCCTCGGCCCTTCTCCGGGGGGAGGCCCAACGAGCCGCACGGCAGCCGCAACCGTCGCTCCTTGCACCCTCGGCCGCGCCAGGGCCGACGGCTCCCGGGAGGCAGCGCGCGTGGGCGCGCTCCCTCGGGGGAAGCCGAGAGGCACCGATGCCGCTGCTCCGAGGACCTCTCCTGGGGCGCGCCCTGGCCAGGATTTCGAGGCGCGTGGGCCCGATGGTCCAATCTATCGCGAGACCCCACGTGGAAGAGTCTCCTCTGGCTCGTCCTCGCCCCAACTGGGGAAACCCACAGGTACCGATGCCGCTGCTCTCGGGCGTTGGCAAAACTGAGTTTAGTGGGACCTGGTTTAGGGATGTGTCTACTGGGGGACGCCCCTCCCCCAGCCCGTTCCACGAACCGGAACTGCCGTAACCCGAAAAAAAAACACCACCTACGGCAAACCTGGTTTATCGGGGATGGACAGACCCCCCTTAAGTAAAACGGGGTTTAGTGAAAACGACCTGAGGCCCAATCCTGGCGGGCGCAAGCCTGGAAAATAAGGGCCGCGGCGCCCTCTCGAGAACCGAAAACGGACAATTCACTAATCGACGTGTCACTGTTAGGAGGTCTGTCCACCCCCGACCAATTCGGGAGGCTCTGGGGCCCCACCACTGTCCGGGTCCCCTCACATGCGGTCCCGGCCATGCCCGATGCTCCCCGGACCTCTACAGGGGCGCGTGCCGGCCAGGATCGCGCGAGGGCGAAAGCCCCCGGCGGTGGCGCCACGAGAGGGCCGCCCGCAGGAGGCCCAGCAGGTGGAGGACGGGGCAAGGGGCACAGTTCAGCCGTCTCGGGAGGATGCGCGGGTGAGGATGCAAGGGCCTCGGGAGGTCCTGTTCGCGTTTTTCGAACGAGGATGGCCAACGAGAGTCGCTGAGGCTGGGCCGAAGGGACGAGGATGCGAGGCTACCCTAAGGAGGGCTGCCCGTCCTTGCCATGCAGGTTGACTGTGGTGGTATGGGGTGCCGATTCCTCCTCCTCCTCCTCCTCCTCCTCCTCCTCCTCCTCCTCCTTCGATCCTTGGCGGCGTGGTCCACGGCACCAGCGGCCCGCCCGCCTGCCTATGTCCGCGCGCGGCCAAGGTTGAACAGGCGAGAGGGGGCGAGGCGAGCTTGCCGCCGCCAGCAGCCGGCAGCGCGCCTTTTTGTTGCGACCGCGACCGCATCAAGCCGTGGTGCGCACATCGCTGCCGCGGTATTCGCGATGTCATGCAGCTTCGTCCGCGACCCTTCTCCCCGTCACCCTCTCCTCTCCCGGCTCGTCCTCCGTCCTCCTCCCCCCTCTTTCTGCAGCTGCTCCTCCACGACCTCAGCAGCTTCTCGGCCTCCACCTCCCCCCTCTTCCGTGCCGACTCGCCATCGATCTCTCCCGACTCCCCCTCCTCCTCCTCCTCCTCCTCCTCCTCCTCCTCCTCTCCTCCTCCTCCTCCTCTTCCTCCTGCTTCTCTCCTCCTGCTTCTCTCCTCCTGCCTCTCTCCTCCTCCCTCCTCCTCCTCCTCCTCCTCCTCTCCTCCGCCTCCGCCTCCGCCTCCGCCTCCGCCTCCGCCTCCGCCTCCGCCTCCGCCTCCGCCTCCGCCTCGCCTCCGCCTCCGCCTCCGCCTCCGCTCCCGCCTTCCGCCTCCGCCTCCTCCCATCCTCCTCCTCCTCCTCCTCCTCCTCCTCCTCCTCCTCCTCCTCCTCCTCCCTCTCCTCCGCCTCCTCCTCCTCCCTCCTCCTCCTCCTCCTCCCCCTCCTCCTCCTCCCTCCTCCTCCTCCTCTCCTCCTCCTTCCTCCCTCCTCCTCCTCCTCTCCTCCTCCTCCTCTCCTCCTCCTCCTCCTCCTCCTCCTCCTCCTCCTCCTCCTCCTCCTCCTCCGCCTCCGCTCCGCCTCCGCCTCGCCTCCGCCTCCGCCTCCTCCTCCGCCTCCTCCTCCGCCTCTCCGCCTCCGCCTCCTCCTCCGCCTCTCCTCCTCCTCCTTGCTCCTCCTCCTGCTTCTCTCCTCTGTTCTCTTCCTCTCTGCTCTCCCTCCTGCTTCTCTCCTCCTGCTTCTCTCCTCCTGCTTCTTCTCCTCTGCTTCTCTCCTCCTCTCTCCTCCTCCTCCTCTCCTCTCCTCCTCCTCCGACTCGCCTCCGCCTCCCCCGCTCCGCCTCCGCCTCCGCCTCCGCCTCCGCCTCCGCCCGCCTCCGCCTCCGCCTCCGCCTCCGCCTCCTCCACCTCTCCTCCTCCTCCTCCTCCTCCTCCTCCTCCGCCTCCGCGCTCCTCCCCTCCGCCTCCTCCTCCTCCTCCTCCTCCTCCTCCTCCTCCTCCTCCTCCTCCTCCTCCGCTCACCACATCACCCCTCTCCCCCTCCTCTCCTCCCTCGCTTCGCGCCAATCTCCTCGTCCTCCTCCGCCTCCGCCTCCGCCCCCCTCCCGGGCTCCTCCTCCTCCTCCTCCTCCTCCTCCTCCCCGCTCACCACATCACCCCTCTCCCCCTCCTCTCCTCCCTCGCTTCGCGCCAATCTCCTCGTCCTCCTCCGCCTCCGCCTCCGCCCCCCTCCCGGGCCCTCCGACCCGGCCCTGCCCTGCCCCCCAACCCCCCCTCGGTCGTGCCAGGCGGAGATCGATGTCCATGGCTACCGCCTGGGCACCGACGGCCTGGTACTCCAGCGGGCGGTGTGTACGGTGGAGGTCGGTCCACAAGACACGTCCCACAAGAAAGCCAACCCTGAGGCCCCAGGATTTCCATGGATTTTAAGCGTGGGAACGTCGCGCCTTCTGTCGCAAAACCATCGAAACCCTTGAAACCCATGGCAACCTGCAGGCAAGCCGGGTGTTACTTGGCATGGGTCTCCACTGTAGGAATATCCGCCGACCCTGTCGGGGTGGAAGAGGCTGTTCCGTTTGACTCGTCCTCGTCGTCGTCGTCGTGGTCGTTGTTGTCGTCGTCGTCGCTGTCGCCGTCGCCAGTCCCCTCCCTTTCCCTGAGCCTGGCGCCGCTGCCTCCACTTTCACCGGGCCCTCCTCCTCGAGCGCGCCAGCCACAGCGAAATTGAGCAGCGCTGTACTTGAGTCGAAGGAAAACCCCTTCCCTTTGATTCCTTCCCCGCCAGGGGGGGGGGTCCCGGGAGGGTCCCGGGGGGGAATCCCGGGGGGGCATCCCAGGGGGGTCCCGGGTCAGATACGAATTCCCTCCGGGCGGTTCGGGACCCCAGACAATCCCCAAGACGTAGCAACAGTGTCCCGAGAGGCTCCCAAGAATGTCCTCGAGGGACCCGAATTGCCGAAGTATCGGTCCAAGTCGCGATAGCCTCCAGACAGCTTCGGAAAATTCCACTCCAAGGGCACTCCCAAGAGGCCCCAAGGAGCAAAAATCATCGATTTCCCTAAAGTGTTTGAAAGATTTCGGCATTCTCGCCTTGTCAGCTTCCCGACACTCCAAGAAAGGCCAATAAGCCCCCAAGACCGCCCCAATATCGCCCAAGAGGCCTCCAAGAGAGCCCTAAAGCGACCCAAGAGGGCCCCAAGACCGACCAAGAGGCCTCCAAGACAGCCGAAGAGGCCCCCAAGACGGCTCCAAGGAGGAGCCCAGACGGGGGACCCGAACGGACATTTGGAGCCCTCGGCCTGAGAAGCTCTCAGGCCCCCAAAGGTCCCTAAAAAAACCCGCAAAAAACTCCAAGAACCCCCCAAGAGACCACGAGGCTTCCAAGCGGCCCCCCAGAGCTTCCCAAGAGGCCCCCAAACTACCCCGAAGAGCTCCCCGAGAGCGCTCGTCGTCGTCGTCGTCGTCGTCGTCGCCACTCAGGGTCGGCGGCACTGGCCGTAAGGCCCTCGCAATAGACATCTCCGGCATATTCGTATCCACCGCCTGCCGAAGTCCCCGAAGGTGTCCACATCCATCGCCAACCGAGGCCCCCAGGGCGGCGCCCATGTGCTTACACGGATACATCCCCGCCGCTGACACACACAGCCACCATGCCCCTCGTCACCGATGTGTTGCTTTTACCTAGAGAGGGCGGGACGGGCGGGAGGGCAACGGTACAGAGGCCCGACCAGAAGAAACCTGCCACAAGAAACCTAACCCTGAGACCCCAGGACGACCCTGGATTTTTGGCGTTTTAACGTCGCGCTGTCCATCGCAAAACCATCGAAAACCCAGGATACCCAGGGCACCCTGCAGGCAAGCAAGATGTTTCTTGGCATGGGCCCCCATTGTAACACGGCGGCCGCGGCGTGCACCCTCTGGGGCGCGTTGGCGCCACCGGCGCATGAATCGTCGCCTGTGCGCACCGCAGCACGAAAGGGGGCCCAAGCCCCCCCCCGCAGTACGAGCGCTAGCGTTAACCCAGGGGAGGGCGGGAGGGGGGGGGTTCGCCCCGTCAGCGAGCGAGATTCTGGGGAGAACAAAAGCTCACCTCTTCCAGTCACAAACCTTGCTCGGATCGCCCGTGGAAAACACCACCACCACACTTGACCGCCGACGTCTGTCCGAGCTGTAAACATCGCGAACTGCAACCGCAATTCGTTCACTATCGGGCTCCTCTGGCTCCTCGAAGCAATTGTTGGCTGATTCTTCGGCAATAACCCATTGTATCCGGCGGGAGAGAAGGCGTCAGCCGATAACTCCACCTGTTCGCGGTGGGCTGACCCACGCATGCCCGCGCGCACGGGCACTGCGTCCCCCCTTCGGACCTGCGCAACCGACAGGGTTCGGCGGCACGCGCAGAAAGCATAGGGGGGAGGGGGGAAGGAGGCTGCCTCTTAGGAGGCGTCGGCCTTACATCTACAGACAAGGCCCGCGCCTTCTGAGAAGCAGGGGTGCTGCTAAGAAGCCTCTCCAAATCTCCTGCGTCCCCCCCTCTGCGCGTGGCCGAAAGGTGAGGTTGACGCGTCAAAGGCGGCGAATGGCGAAAACGAGGGACGATGTTTTCATGAAACATAATGCCAGAAGGTGCCAGATATCAAACAGCAATCGCAATACATATTCATAAAGAGACTGACTGACATCTGGTGTCTGATATAACACTTCACCGAAGAATGGTTCAACTCAACGGGCTCAAAGTTCTACAGCCGGCCCAAATTTAAGCGAGCGTCAATCCATTCTGTATCTCAAGGCAACCAGTGAAACGCACCGCAGACAAAATGACGCGGAAGTCGCAGACTGACTGCACCGCAGACAGAATGACGCGAAGGTTGCAGACTGACTGCAGGCAAGCGGGCTCGTCGCCATCAAGAGTGTGACAACTGCCGGAGGGAAGCAGCTCGGGATCGGTCTCGAACGCTCAAGATCGGTCTCGAACGCTGCGGCAAGGCAGTCCTATTTGGGGGAGAGACGGAGAAGACCCGTCTTCAGCATCTGCATATGGGCGGCATTTTTTTTTGCAAGGTCGCACTTAGTGAGAGTATCGACGGTCATGAAAGGGTGGGGCACACATCGAATGGTCCCTCCGAAATGGCCTAGGGTCTCGCGACATACTGCCAAGCCTATGACTGAACTTCTATCGTTATTGGGCCCTGTGGTCGTCCGATCTAACGTGTCAAACACCCCCTTGGCGTCGACGACGCGGATGCTTCCCTCCAGGTTCTACTTTAGCAAACAATCGGACTGAAGGACCGCGGCAACAAAAAGGCCCAGCATATCCCTCCAGACGTCGTCGACCGCACTACCCCGAAGGATGTCATAAAAGAGAAGCTGGAGCCACTCGGCCTCGGCTAATGCCTCGGCTAAGGCCCCCGATAACGACTGCACTTGTCCTGCCAGTGTCGATGGAACCTGGCTGTTCGCTCGATGGGATCTCCAGGCCAGGGGGGTGGCACGAGCACGAAAGCCAAAGGCGACGGACGAGCCGGCTGCGTAAATTTGCCGCGCCAGCTGTGCCTTCTCTGACGTTGAGGAGGCCACTCCGCCCGCGCCTGACGCGGCGGCAATAATGAAATCAACAGCCTTGAAACACCACGCGCGTATGGGGACGGCGGCGGTCTGGCGAAGATGGTCAACCATCCTATGTACTATCCGGGCATCTCCAACAAAAGATTCTCCACTCTGCTCGCAAGAATCGAAGCAGCCCCACACGCTTCCGCCCTCGTCTCCCTCCCCACCCAGTTCAAACGGTAGATCAGAGAGCGAAAGTCGGTCTTTTCTTTACCTACCAGCGGCAGATCGTGTTTTCCTCTTCGGTCCCGGGACACGCGAAGTCGGTGCAGGTTCTCCAATGTATATTTGTCTTGGTCCGCAAGGATTCTGTCTTGGGCCCCGCGTATCCCCCTGCCGATCTACTCGATGCCCTCGGCG